AATCCACGAATTACGGTTTGAACTGCTTGACCATCCACCTTACTCACCAGATCTAGCCCCAAGCGACTTCTTTTTGTTCCCTCATCTAAAAATTGCGCTCGGAGGACAGAGATTTTCGTCAAATGAAGAGGCAATCACCTTCGTGAACAATTATTTTGCAGAGAAAAACGCCGAGTACTATTTCGACGGGTTACAGAGATGGGAGCATCGCTGGGAGAAGTGTGTAGATTTACAAGGAGACTATGTTGAAAAATAAAAAACAATTTTCAGAAAAAATGACTTGTATCTTTGTTAGGTCGGAAACTTTTCAGACCACCCTCGTATATTTCAATTTGACGCAGAATATCAGCAAATCAATACATACCAAACTTGCAGTAATTTACCTGCGCTAATTTCGTCCACGTATTCTCACAAGTTCGATGTAAATTTCTTGTTTCTCCCGGCGATTAACAAATTCGATTGTTCTTATTACACAGAAAAATATATAAACTATATACACACAGTGTATAAAATCAATACATACCAAACTTGCAGTAATTTACCTGCGCTAATTTCGTCCACGTATTCTCACAAGTTCGATGTAAATTTCTTGTTTCTCCCGGCGATTAACAAATTCGATTGTTCTTATTACACAGAAAAATATATAAACTATATACACACAGTGTATAAAATATATACACTGCATTCAAGCAGTACATTACTTGTCTGAAATATTTCATAAGTTCGTGTATCCGAAAATCTATCATAAGTTCATTGTAAGCATCAATTTTACTCAGGATATATTTCGGATCCCAGTAAATTTAGCGTTTCAGTAAAAAATATATTAAATTAAAACAAAAATTCGACTCACTTCCTACGTAGAGGCAAATCATTTTCTTGAATGAAGATTTATAGTATTCTTATAAGAGAAAAAATTCTTCTCTTGTGAATATATGATAATCAGTTTTGTTTTTAAAATTTGTTTTTAAAACTTGTAAGATCAGGAAATATTCTTTGTTAAAAATAACTTAAGATAACTTGACGATAACGAATAATATAAAATTATTTAAAAACATATTGATGAGTAGTTGTTTTTCTTAGTAGTAGAATAGTATTTTTCTGTGTGTAACGTTGTCAGTTTTAGAATAAGCTGTTTAAGAAAACTATATTCCAGTACACAGATTTGCAAGTACTTCCCAAGTAATATTCACTTGCCATCTGTTATTGATTTTCACTCAGCAAGCGCATCAGCGAAATTTGTCAATTATTTTCATTTCCGCAAAATTCGTTCATTATGTTTGCATCAGTAAATTTTTTCCCTAGGTGTCCTCGATTGACCACGGTACCCAAGTATTTAATAAAGGACGCCCTTTCCTCTTGTAGCCTAAATATTGCACACGGTAGATTTTTGGGAACCGTTGAAAAGAGGCGGGAGAGCCTCTCTCAGAGGAGATGAACGCTGCTGCGGAACAACGGCGCAATTTTTCGCACGGCGCGGGGCGTTCCGGGAGAGGAAGCAGCGACGACCGAGAGGCACTCACCCGTGCCGGTGGTTAATCGATATATCGAATTGTTTTGATGGAAGGTGCACCGTCCGGCCCGGCCCGGCCGGCCACGATGACGACGACGCGACGCAACGCTACGCGGTGTGTCCCGGTTCCAGAATATTCGAGGGTGCGCGGGTCGACCTAGTGCTGATCCGCCCCTATAAATAAATATGGTCAAGGTGACACTTTCGCGCGCGGTATTCAACCCTCGCCGGGCGAGCACGCCTCGTCCATCTCGAACCCACGAATCCGCGCCTTTCTCGGGCGCGGTGCGTCGCGAAATGCCGGGTGCTCAACGACGCCATGGGGCAAAAAACCTCGAAAGTTATTACCTGAGGTTCTCCTGCTGGATGCTCTTATCCCACGGCGAACTCCTCAGCTTTATCGGATCAAGGTTTCCCATCGAGATACGATCGAGATGTCGAGGCACGTGTAGCTTGAGACGGTGAAGTGCTCGTTGATGGAACGAGATACGAGGCAGAGAAAATTCGCACGACGAGACCGTGTTCCTCGAGAATTTATTCCCCGAATGGGATTCCGAGGACTGCGAAGAATTGAGAAACATCCATCGATATAAACATTATCTTCGGCGCCTTCGCCGGGGGAGGAAATTTCCACAGATCGATCTCACTATATGAGACGCTCGGCTTTCATAAAGAGAAATGCCGAGGTAATCAATATTCTCGGAGACTTATGGATCGTTCATGCCATCCTTCGGTTGTGAGCTAACGAGTTTTTAGCTACCACGAGCGATCAATGTCTTCCGGTTACACGAGAAAAAATATTTGAGAATTTATTTGTGGGATATGGAGTTTGTGAAATATAGTTTATTTTTATAAATAATCTTTTGTCCTGCAAATAAATCTTCAAGTGTTCTTTCCTTCAGTACAGAAGATCAGGATAGAGGAAGATTAAAACAGGATATATCCTGGAACCTCGACGTTCGCCGTCGCATCCTCGGTGTCCGTCGTTGTCAGAAGTAACTGTCGCGGGTAGCAAGCAGAATGTTTCACACGAGCGCACGTCGCGTACTTGGAAGACATATCTGCCGAAAGTCTGCTGCTTGAACTTGAAGCAACGCGCGTTACAGCTGAACGTGCGACGAGGATCACCGCAGCCGTCAAACTCGCCACTTCTGCTGGAGTTTCCTTTAATCTGTCTGCGGATAACCGATGGAATTTTTGCTTTGTTAATACTGCAAAGGCATGCAAGACATGTTGGTCACTCGCCCGGCGCGTTATCAACTTCGATGTCCATTTATCGTACTATATTTAGAAAGTCGTTTAAGAGACTACTACTTCGTTATCACCCGCTTGTCTTTTCGCAAAATCTAAGGTCATTCTCTACCGTTGATAACCTTCGACAGTGTCATAGTCAACTTTTAGGGTGGTTCTATTTCCAACATCGGTTCGAAGAGAAAAAGGAACGTCGGGGAAACAGATTAGATGATCTACGAGAGCATTCCTGAATTCGATCAAAATTCGAACGTCGAGGAGAGACGTCAGGACGATTTAGGATTCATATGCGAAACATTGCAAAGAGCGATGCCATTGATCCATAGGCCATGTGTTCCATTTCTGGGAAGTGAAAAATGTACTTAAAATGGGCACCAAATTAAAGGCTTTATGAGCTCATTACAAAGATATAAGTTTTAAAGCGTACCGTACCAACACTACAATACAAAAGATCCCAAATTTTAAGCTAATTTCAAACTGATGTTTCTTTAGCAAAATTTAACGGATTTTAAAAATTCAAAATGTTACATTTAATAAAATTAAATGAAGAATTTAATGGTATAAATTCCATGTTCCAAACTGACGGAAATAGAAAATTCCAATTGGAACATCAACTTCCGGTTGATTTTGAAACATGAAGTGCATAGGAAAATGCACCTTAACCTATTCAAAAACATTCGAAATACCCAAATTGTTTTTGCTTAACTATTTTAAAAGCTAGATCAAACAAAATTCTTTTGAAATGAAATGAAAGAAACATAAAGAAAGTAGCCTAAAATTTGGAACCTTTTTGAACTGTAGGAACGATACACTGGGGGGCTCTAAAATTTATATCTCTTAATCAGCTTATCAAAGCCTTTTTTTAAGCCTTTAATCTATTTTAAGTACATTTTTTACTGCCCAAAAATGGGACACGTGTTGACGTCACTCTTTCACTGAATGATTGAGTGAAACGGTGGGCTTTGGCCGAGCTTTTAATAAATTATCAGTGAGTGTAATTAATTCAGTGAATGGGCTTATCGGGACGATTATGCGCTGTTGATGTAACGTCGATGCCCGCGCGTCACACTTCTTCTCATCTTCAGGGAAAATACGAGTATTTGTGCCCGCACAACCTGTCTTGTACACGAGTCTGCCTAATAGTGAAGCACAGCTCCGAAAATAGCCGGCAACGGTAGCCAAGTAAATATCTTTTAATACCCTTCATTCTTCGTCGATCTTCGAGTACTTCTTAACTTCAGTGTATTTGCAGAGTCCACTCGCGATCGGCATCTCCCTCGGCTCCTTGCCTCGTGCCTGATAGAATCGACCATCGCTCAATCTGTCTTACAGATTGCGATAAGCAAGCTGACGATATCTGAAAGCATTCGAATAGTAGCGAGTTACTAAAAGAAAAACCGGCGAAGAATGTGAAGATTAGTTCAAGATGATGACTTCGGAATGTGACAAACAACTTTTCTTATAAGTTTTTAGTATTTTCGATCGATATTTTCTTTCGTGAGTCTTTCTCTTTGAGTCATCTTTAAAAATGTTTTAAACAATCTTTCGATCACATCTTTTTATTGTTCAGTTTATCGGAACATTCTTCCTACTTGGATATTTGTAATTCTTCACTGAAAAGTGAATACTATACTATATTGTTTCTTATCCAAAAGATAAGAAGGGTTGTCCTAAGTGAATACTATATTGTTTCTTATTCAAAAGATAAGAAGTCTTAAAAAGATAAGATAAGTTGTCCTAAAAATTGTATACATTTAGTAACCTAAATCTAATACCTATATTGTGTTTACTATTGTGTTTATTATTATGTTAAATAAAAAATTACAAAGTTTAGTTAACTAAGACGTTAATTGGTTATCACCACCATTGGTTAAATTTAAGCTGTCCCCAGCCAGCGAAATCCATTTGCACCTGTTATTAGAATCTTAAGATGCGATATAATAGTGAACATTAGCCTTTTAATTAACCCTTCAATCGAACTCCGAAATTTGTTTCTTTACTAAACCGCGTTCCAAGTAAAATTGTCGATTTGAGATCTGCGAAGAGAAAATTCTCAGAGACTTTTCTCTAAGTAGAAATCAGGAAGAAAGCGCATTAAAATCTTTTAAAACGGCTGTCAGTCGATAGAAATTACTCCTAAGACCGTAATTTCCTCTTTGATTGTCTTATCCTTAACAAACGCGGGTATCAACTTCAGCATCGATTCGACAGCCGTGGATCGACTCGCAAGTAAATCTACCTAAGCGTTACACTCCGACTTTGATAAGCTTTTAACATGCTGTAGTCTAGGTTTAAATAACAGACACATGTTGTTTTATATGTGCCCATATGGCCGGTAAGAGGGTGAAACACCCTCTTGAAAAAAACCGGTTTTAATATTTCTGAGCGAATATTATCGGAACAGTAAATAATACAAATGAAAGTTTTATGGGTTTTAATGAGCTTTATAACAATGTACTCAGATTTTTCGAAAATTCATTTTTTTCGAAATCCCTTTTTCCCTCCTTTGTAAAATCTAAGTGCATTGTGAAGCCCATTAAAACTCATAAAACTTTTTGAATTTTTTTTTTGTATTATTTGCTCTTCCGATAATATTCACTCAGAAATATTAAAACCGATTTTTTTCAAGAGGATGTTTCACCCTCTTGAAAAAAACCGGTTTTAATATTTCTGAGCGAATATTATCGGAACAGTAAATAATACAAATGAAAGTTTTATGGGTTTTAATGAGCTTTATAACAATGTACTCAGATTTTTCGAAAATTCATTTTTTTCGAAATCCCTTTTTCCCTCCTTAATTTTGTAAAATCTGAGTGCATTGTGAAGCCCATTAAAACTCATAAAACTTTTTGAAATTTTTTTTTGTATTATTTGCTCCTTCGATAATATTCACTCAGAAATATTAAAACCGATTTTTTTCAAGAGGATGTTTCACCCTCTTGAAAAAAACCGGTTTTAATATTTCTGAGCGAATATTATCGGAACGGTAAATAATACAAATAAAAGTTTTATGGATTTTAATGAGCTTTATAACAATGTACTCATATTTTTCGAAAATTCATTTTTTTCGAAATCCCTTTTTCCCTCCTTAATTTTGTAAAATCTGAGTGCATTGTGAAGCCCATTAAAACTCATAAAACTTTTTGAAATTTTTTTTTGTATTATTTGCTCTTCCGATAATATTCACTCAGAAATATTAAAACCGATTTTTTTCAAGAGGATGTTTCACCCTCTTGAAAAAAACCGGTTTTAATATTTCTGAGCGAATATTATCGGAACGGTAAATAATACAAATAAAAGTTTTATGGATTTTAATGAGCTTTATAACAATGTACTCATATTTTTCGAAAATTCATTTTTTTCGAAATCCCTTTTTCCCTCCTTAATTTTGTACAATCTGAGTGCATTGTGAAGCCCATTAAAACCCATAAAACTTTTATTTGAAACTTTTTTTTGTATTATTTGCTCTTCGATAATATTCGCTCAGAAATATTAATACCGACTTTTCAAGAGGATGTTTCATGCTCTTGCAAAAAACCGGTTTTAATATTTCTGAGCGGATATTATCGGAACGGTAAATAATACAAATAAAAGTTTTATGGGTTTTAATGAGCTTTATAACAATGTACTCAGATTTTTCGAAAATTCATTTTTTTCGAAATCCCTTTTTCCCTCCTTTGTAAAATCTAAGTGCATTGTGAAGCCCATTAAAACTCATAAAACTTTTTGAATTTTTTTTTTGTATTATTTGCTCTTCCGATAATATTTCTGAGGGAATATTATCGGAACGGTAAATAATACAAATAAAAGTTTTATGGATTTTAATGAGCTTTATAACAATGTACTCATATTTTTCGAAAATTCATTTTTTTCGAAATCCCTTTTTCCCTCCTTAATTTTGTAAAATCTGAGTGCATTGTGAAGCCCATTAAAACCCATAAAACTTTTATTTGAAACTTTTTTTTGTATTATTTGCTCTTCGATAATACTTCGCTCAGAAATATTAATACCGACTTTTCAAGAGGATGTTTCATGCTCTTGAAAAAAACCGGTTTTAATATTTCTGAGCGGATATTATCGGAACGGTAAATAATACAAATAAAAGTTTTATGGGTTTTAATGAGCTTTATAACAATGTACTCATATTTTTCGAAAATTCATTTTTTTCGAAATCCCTTTTTCCCTCCTTAATTTTGTAAAATCTGAGTGCATTGTGAAGCCCATTAAAACCCATAAAACTTTTATTTGAAACTTTTTTTTGTATTATTTGCTCCTTCGATAATATTCGCTCAGAAATATTAAAACCGACTTTTCAAGAGGATGTTTCATCCTCTTGAAAAAAACCGGTTTTAATATTTCTGAGCGGATATTATCGGAACGGTAAATAATACAAATAAAAGTTTTATGGGTTTTAATGAGCTTTATAACAATGTACTCAGATTTTTCGAAAATTCATTTTTTTCGAAATCCCTTTTTCCCTCCTTTGTAAAATCTAAGTGCATTGTGAAGCCCATTAAAACTCATAAAACTTTTTGAATTTTTTTTTTGTATTATTTGCTCTTCCGATAATATTTCTGAGGGAATATTATCGGAACGGTAAATAATACAAATAAAAGTTTTATGGATTTTAATGAGCTTTATAACAATGTACTCATATTTTTCGAAAATTCATTTTTTTCGAAATCCCTTTTTCCCTCCTTAATTTTGTAAAATCTGAGTGCATTGTGAAGCCCATTAAAACCCATAAAACTTTTATTTGAAACATTTTTTTGTATTATTTGCTCTTCCGATAATTTCGCTCAGAAATATTAAAACCGACTTTTCAAGAGGATGTTTCACCCTCTTGAAAAAAACCGGTTTTAATATTTCTGAGCGAATATTATCGGAACGGTAAATAATACAAATAAAAGTTTTATGGGTTTTAATGAGCTTTATAACAATGTACTCAGATTTTTCAAAAATTCATTTTTTTCGAAATCTCTTTTTCCCTTCTTAATTTTGTAAAATCTGAGTGCATTGTGAAGCCCATTAAAACCCATAAAACTTTTATTTGAAACTTTTTTTTGTATTATTTACTCTTTCGATAATATTCGCTCAGAAATATTAAAACCGACTTTTCAAGAGGATGTTTTACCCTCTTGAAAATAACCGGTTTTAATATTTCTGAGCAAATATTATCGAAACGGTAAATAATACAAATAAAAGTTTTATGGGTTTTAATGAGTTTTATAACAATGTACTCAGATTTTTCGAAAATTCATTTTTTTCGAAATCCTTTTTTCCCTCCTTAATTTTGTAAAATCTGAGTGCATTGTGAAGCCCATTAAAACCCATAAAACTTTTATTTGAAACTTTTTTTTGTATTATTTGCTCCTTCGATAATATTCGCTCAGAAATATTAAAACCGACTTTTCAAGAGGATGTTTCATCCTCTTGAAAAAAACCGGTTTTAATATTTCTGAGCGGATATTATCGGAACGGTAAATAATACAAATAAAAGTTTTATGGGTTTTAATGAGCTTTATAACAATGTACTCAGATTTTTTGAAAATTCATTTTTTTCAAAATCTCTTTTTCCCTCCTTAATTTTGTAAAATCTGAGTGCATTGTGAAGCCCATTAAAACCCATAAAACTTTTATTTGAAACATTTCTTTGTATTATTTGCTCTTCCGCTCAGATATATATAATATTCAGCTCAGATAATAATATTCGCTCAGAAATATTAAAACCGACTTTTTTGAAGAGGATGTGTCACCCTCTTACCGGCCGTATGGACACGTATAAAACAATATGTGTCTCTTATTTACACTTAGGCTCGTATTCTGAATTCTCTTTTAACGATAAATGAGCCTATAAAAGTGGCTTATAAGCTTTCTGATTAGCTATGAGTCACTCTTAAAGGCTTATTTATCGTTAAAAGAGAACTCAGAATACGGACCGTAGACTACAGTATGTTAAAAGCTTATCAAAATCGGAGTATAACACTTTGGTAGGTTTATTTGTCAGTAATTATCTGATCATGTTCTCCCTCGGGCATTGTTAATGTAACCCTGCTAATCGCGAAGATGACGATTGATTGTTTAGTACAACATTTATTTCGTCCGCAGCGAGAGCAGCATGTTCGTGTCGAAGCACAGATTTATATTGAAGACATGCGGCACCACTACACCCCTACAGTGTCTGGAGCCTTTGCTAGAGATCGTCGAGGAATATACCGGCTGCGACGACGTCGAGGTAAGGTAATACTGGCGAGGATGAGGATGACGATGAGACAATGGCTGGCGAGAGAGATCCTCGATCGCGGGAACTTTTGCCAGAGACAAGAGTAGGAAGAAGAGGAAGAGGAAAACGACGACACGCAGAGCGTATACTCTCTGAAATTCTTGAAGTGAGATCTCGTCCGAAGCGACTAATACTCGAAATCGTAAGAGGGAACAATATTTTATTCAAGCTCAAACTGCGGATTCTGACTCTACATGAGCGAATCCCCCAATCAAGGATGAAATTGTCCCTACGACGATACATCCGATTCACGCTTCGATTTGTGACAGAAAATATTCGGCGACTCAGAGTGGGGAATGCGCATGCTATATGAGTGAAATACTACTGAAACACGAAATGGGGCGATTTTTCACTGTCGCTCTACTTTTCGACTGAAATTCCGTTCCAAGAAATTCAGAGAGTACGTGACGACCTTACCAAAAAATCTCCGGGACACCTCAGTCGTTCCCGAGCGAGCGAGCGAGCGAGCGAACGAACGAGCGTTGGTTGTTCAGTTTAGGAGTGCTTAGCTATATAACTTGACCTAGTGCATGGATAAGAAACGCGACTATATACACACGCGGCTGTCTCTCTCTCCGCCACGTGAGACGCGTCTCTGCCTCCTGGTTTATTGATCTCGGCTATCTCGCGATACCCCCGTGTGTGCAGTGCTCACTCTTACCCGAAACGCGTTTCCGCGATTGTGCACGCGCGGCCAATTCTCCGCAACGAATCCGTCCCGACTGAGCGGAGGAAAGCCAGACTGTCAATCGGGCGCAAAGTCCCCGCGGTCGAGGATCTCTCTCGCCAGCCATTATCAAATTGCTGCTTCTTTTCTTCGCTCTCTTTCGGTTATCAATCGACGAGTTTATTTTCGGACCGTCCTAGATTGATCCCGTCAAAAATGAAGATCGTATCGGAAGACGCTATTTTAAAGCGCGCGATCCACGAGGATAGGAATTGTGAAGCTGCGAAGAATTTATCTTTTCTTTTTAAAAATACGTCTTTTCTCAAAGATTGTTCGAGAATGAACACTTTGATCAGTCAATGGAAGATCAAACGGAAGTGTTATAAATGATTATAAATTAGCTTATAATTATTTACATATTTTATGAATAATGATTGTATAACTAGTGATAAACGCGATTATCACTGTCGATCAACAATATCGTATACAGCGTTATCGATGTACGATTCAAGCCTTTTCAAAATGGGATTTCGATATCGAAGTATTCTGTAATTGTTAATTAGAAGATTCAATTCATTTGTTTTTGCTTTGCACGCGAAACATTGCTGACAAATCGTGGAATTCTGAGTCACAAGTTCAAGATAAACATAATACGTTCGATCCGAAAGGGCTGAGATCAAAATAAAAAAATTTGAAGGAACGCCATGCGCGTTACTATGTTAGTACTTGCTACTGGATGAGCAAAGAGGTCTTATCTAGTTCTGATAAGGGTCAAAGCTTATTCATTCTCGGCGATAACGACGGATAGTTATTCTTTGTCTTTCGTACATTCCAATTAAAACTCCCGCGGAAACCCGAGCTCCAGGCGACAGACGTTTAATCGTCATTATCACTTGACGTATGTTTTAGAATGTCTTTTATTCGCGAAAGAATTACAAGAGACCGGAGCTCCAGATCTCACCGCACCAGACGTTCAAGGAAGAAGTCGCTTTGCTACATTCCCTTTTCCACGGTAATTATCAAGTCGTAATTATTTCCAGTTGGAGAAAAACAAGGAGAGACAACTTGTGAAAAAATTAGATTAACTTGCAAATTTCGTCACGTAGCCTTACCTATGCATTGCAGACGGCGAAGCTTACTGTTTGGGCTCACCGGAGACGGACTGCTGGTATCTTTACACTTTGTTCAAGGACAAAGACCTGCAGGATTCGCCGGAACCAGACCAGACCTTGGAGATACTCATGACGCATCTGGATCCGGAAATAATGTCGATCTTCACCAAAGACGTCTGCTCGTCTGCCGAAGAGGCGACGGGCAAGTCGGGAATTGACAAGTTGATCCCTGAAATGATTATAGATGACTTCCTGTTCGAGCCTTGCGGGTACTCGATGAACGGAGTCTCAAAGAATGTAAGTCGTGCTTCTTTCAACGACTGCGACTGATCGGATACGAGCAACGGCTCGTATCGTTGCTCGTATCCGATTACAAGAATAATTATATGCTTATCTGCTCGCTTACACTTTCAGCAAGATAAGTACATGACGATTCACATCACGCCGGAACCTGAGTTCTCCTACGTCTCCTTCGAAAGCAACGTTTCTGAGGAGTCCTACGACAAGATAATCCAGCGCGTGCTGAACACATTCAATCCAGGCAAGTTCCTTGTCACAATCTTCGCCAACAAGGAGTCCGCGGCCGCTAATTGTCCGCGCGATCTTGAGAATTCCGATTATTTGAGCCACTCCGACGACTGGGTGCGCACCGATGTGCAGTACTACCACTTCAAAAACTACGATTTGACTTGCGCTTTTTACTCGCGCCTGCATAGCTGAGGGTTCAAGAACGCTTCATTCGTCCCTGCTGGGACCAATGAAGCGCCATTGTCCGCTGGTCTCGGCCTCCCTCTTCAAAATCGCCGTTGCGACATTACGACGTTAACGACGACGACGACGACGAGGACGGCGACGGCGGCCTTGAAGAGCAGAGACAAAAAACATTTCACTCCATCGTCACCGACTTCTCGGACATCTCGCAACGTCGACGCGATACGCTCGGCGTCGTCGCCGCAATTGACGACGGCGAAGGCGCCCAGATCCAAGGTGTACCGCAAGACGTCCCTCAAGAGTCCGCTCACATGCGAGGCGAGCGCCGACGGCGACGATATATCCGAGAAGAACAGCGTCTTGCGATACATGAGCAGCACACCGGCCGAGAAGAAGCAGAAGAGGCGAAGTGGCGGAGGTGGCGGCCCGCCGCCGGAGAAGGAGAGCGACGCGAAGAGCGACAAGTGGAATCCCGAAGACATTCACATCACGTGCAATCCGCTGTCGACGCCTTATCCGTATTCGACGCCGGCGACGACGACGACTACCACCACGGCGACCACCACGACTACCACGACTACGACCACGGTGGAGAGCGATGAGGAACCGAAAAGTCGCAGCTGCGGCAGCTTCTTGCCGATACTCGCGCTGATCCCGCAGTCGGTCATCAGTTTCCAGTATCTCAGCCCGAAAATGAAATTCTCCTGGTGGCGGAACAAGATCTCGTGAAGGCACGCGTAGGCGCCATCGACGCCGCCGCCGCCGCATCAAGTCGCGCGTCGCGACGTTACCCCGAGCTGTCATATAAGATACCTCTCTTAAGTCTACGGTGTACCTTCGTTGCGTTTCTCGCGTTAGATTGAGCGCTTGCAAAGCGCATAACTATTTATTCGATCGTTATTTATTACTAGAATCTCTGGCAATAAATAGTAGATTCGCGGCTGTTGTAAAACGGCGACGACAACCAATGCATATTGCAGACGCGAGAAAACGCATCGACGTGCCGTGGGTTTTACCTCGTAGCAAACTATTTTTCTCTTTCTCTCCCCTCTCTCTCTCTTTCTCTCTCTCTCTCTCTCTCTCTCTCTCTCTCTCTGTTTTACCCCGTCCTCCACCTTTCCTCCCCTTTTATCTCTCTGCCTGTAAATCTCTTTCTATCTACCTATTTGACTCACACTTCCGATCGGTCTTCATCAATTAGGGGAATCCATCGTTATATATCTCGTAGTTATTCGTTACATATTAACGTGTACGCGCGTTAAAAAAAAAATGCAAAAGTCGATAAACTAACGCCAGCATTCCTCGAAATCGCGGCGTCGTTGAATAGTCGCGATGATCTGTACCGATGTTCTACGTGCGGTGGTTAATGCGTAGTCGGGTTCTTGAGATTTTTCAATCAAGTTCCAAGTCGCCAGGCAGTCTTTCTACGAAGGAGAACCACACTTGCAGACTTTTCTAACGATCTCTTTCTAGTTGTCTCGACTCACGGGAGAAGCGTATGAGGATGATCGTGTGTTTATTACGCTGACTTTTCGCGCCGTCGGATCCTCTAGTCGATCGAAGTTTCTCCCTCGTTGCGATTCTCCCTCGACGTCTTCTTATTCCGACGCGCGCGAGGTATCTCTTCTGCTATTTTCCGAATCCGCTCGGGGAGAACATCGTGTTTTAGTTCCCGTGGTCCTGTGATGTTTTAGGAATTACCTACTGAATGTTCCATTGATCAAGGAGAGCGTGTTTTAGATTATGTGAAGCGCCCATGAAGTCCCGGTCGATTTTTCCAATTGATTTTCTATCGTTGGATCGAAACGAATGGAGCAAGGATAGAGCTTCTCTCTTCCAAATCTGGGACAAAATGCTAGCAATTATTCTTAGAGAGATTACTTAAGAAGTGGATTGGGGCTTCTTGGGCATCTTGTGTCATTTATAATAGTCGCTTAAACGGTCCATTAAAGTCACTGAGTTTTCGTATTTCCGCTCGTTCTCGTTTTCACAAGTTTCAAAAAGGATACTCGAAGACCTTAGAACTTAAGAGCGCAAAAATTCCGTAACACCCAAGAACCTAAAGATCGTAGAATTTAAGGATCCACAGTTCCTAGAATCTAAGGATCCACAGATCCTAAAAACCTATAACAATCCAAAGACCTTAGAATGTAAGGATTCAGAGATCTTAAAATTTAAGGACTTCAACATCGTAGAGCGTAAGGATCCAGGCTACTATCACAGATAGCGCGATCCAATAATCGAAGCATTCAAAGATTCTAGAATATAAGGATCCAAAGACATTGAAAATCTATGCGTCTAACGGTCAGATATATGATCCCCTGATAAATTTCGAGTTGATTTCCCATTAATGAAAGTACGTGACAAGCGAGCATCGTCTCTGGCTGTCCTGATTCCCGATACCGTCGCCGAGGAGAAGCATTCTCGGCGAATAACAATACAAATCATCAGTCAGAATTATGCACGATATCAAAAGGACGATGGAGAAACTGCTCTGAAGTTATGTCATTACCTCGCTTTGGTAATCGAAAAGATTAAAGAGTCGACCTTTCAACAACAGTTCGAACTTAGATTTAAATTTAAACTCTGTTGTACTTAATACAATGGGTTTTGTTTTCCATTACTGAACTAGTGTACACTTTCGGAACTTAAAAAGATATACAGATAACATTTGGCGTAAGAAAGATGAGAGAGAACTAGTGCAGCCAGTTCAGCGATAGAAAACAGACCCATTGACTACAAACACTATCAATGTGTTTAATACGTTTGAACACAGAATTTAAACCTAAGTGTATGTTTGAGCTGCTATTGAACAATTGGACCTAAAAGATTATATAAGTATATCTCGACAGTTTATTTTACGTTGTATAAATCCCCGTCGAGATATGAAACTCAAAGTTACGAGAAAGACACATCGGAAAGTGAGATTTCCGCACCTATTTTGTTATAATGATGGTTAAAAATTTTTCATTAGGATCGCGCGCAGATGGACACGCGAGATAAGAGCGATGATTGATCGTGTATCAGTCATCTCCCATGGATTACGATTGTGATTAAACAGTTATATCGGCGAAACCCTCAATATGATGGAAACGAATTGAAGGCATATTACTGAGTGAGATCAATAATTACGATGGTACGATTCAATAATTGTCGGCGCGCTCGAATGTCGTGAAGCGACACCAAATTTTTTTAATGTATTTTTTACTGTTTGGTTCCTACTTTGTTCCCTAGTTAGTAGTAACCGCTATTATTTATAATGAAGCAACTGATAACGCACATACACTCGCCCCCACTCGCTCAAGTATAATTTTTGCGATAACTGTCGCAGTTGAGATAATTAAATCGTTGATTAGTATCCCGATGGATTCACTTCTCGCTCAATCGGCGATCGCAATTAGTCCTCTTCCCCCTTTTCTTCCGCCCTTTTTTTTTTTTTTTTATTTGCCGAAGCGTTTAACGGAGTGATACGTTTTTTAAATGTTGCCATAATTATAAAGTTATTTATAATTATGTTTGCGGAATTATAAAGTTATCGTTTTGTCACATGACGTTCCGCAGGATCCGTTTCTTGTATGTCTCCCGGATTAAAATAAATCATTTTCATAAACACGCACCTTCAGTTGCCTTTTATTTTGTCAAGTTTCCTCATTTCCTGTTTTCGTCTTAAGTTATTTGGGAGGAGATCGTCGTGATGTCGCTTTAAGATTTCCCTGAGATCCCTCACTACGGTCGTCTCGGCGTAAATGGCGTTAGAAACGAGGAAATTGTGCGCAACATCGTCGTAGTTCGATAAAACAAATTTGCAAAGTATAACAAGAAATTCGCTATCTACAGAAATTTCTATAGGAGCTACGTATTCGTCCAGTAACTAATTTCATCGACGTCTTTCGCTACACGATTCTTTCTATCGAGTTACATTATTCTTTTTTCATTATCTTGTCCTTTTATATTTTGTATGATTTTTTCATAACGCATCTGGATGGAGTATTAACACTTTGTCGCGTAATACCATCGACTATTAAATCTACATAGTTCTTGACGAGTTTTATCAATTGCGATAAAGATCAATCGGTGTGCGGTAAAATAAGACAAACGGTTAAACGAGAGAGTACAAATAATTAATCGATATAAAGGATTTAATTGACAGCAATCTCAACACGGTAGAAAAGAAAGAAGACACTATGAACATACACACAAAGAGACATACACAAAGACACACACATACAACATTGCATACACATATACCGTGGGAGTGCTTTCTAAAGCATATTATCCGTTGCTATAGATCACTGTTGCATGCTAAAAGTAAATAAATTTGTGTAAAAAATATATCTATGAAATAAAGATTATATTTAGTCAAAGAAAGTGTCACACACACAATTTATTATTGCCCAGCACTGACTCCTCTCCCGAAACTCTCTCGACTCCGCGCTTCTCGCACTCCTTTCTCAGTGATTTCTTCTTCTCTCCTAACAGAACTACTCTATCTTGCCTGAGTCGCTCACAGTAACGCCGTCAGCATTACGTCAGTTTAACGATTAGGAAATTTGAACTGCAGGCGATTGAATTCTTGGAAGAGCGCACGATATCACGCAAGTAATAATAACGCGTCGTCTCGTGCAAAATCTCTTCGTACGGATGAAGCAAACTCGGCTAAGCGGACGTTTTCCGTGGATCTGGGTGTTCGATTGAATTTTTACTGATAGCAGCGCCAGATGTCACACATGCAATTCGAAGTGAACTGGCTATCGTCTATGACACACCTCGGGGCTTGCCGGATAATAATCGGTTACGCGCATAATATCTGCAAATCCAAGTAATCTTTCTTCGTTTCTAATTTCTTTTTTCCTTATATTGTCAAAAGAGGACAATATAGAAGTTATACAAATAAATAAATAGATGAATAAATAACGTGTGTGGATACCCGTTATCGACAACGTGTCCGCGCGTCGTTATTTATATCATGACGCTGGACGCCCCGGTGTGCTCGCGCTGACCGAAACGCACACGCATGCCGTCGAAGACGGCGCTGAATCTGGATCGAAAGCAACGCTGAGCGTTCCGCTGCGACACGTCCGCGCACTCCTTCGCCACCGGGGCGGACGCGTTTTCCTCGGGCTCGTTTCGGATTCTGTCCAGAGCTGCGATGTGAAAAGCGATGTTAGCCCGGGGGGCTACGATCAACTACTTAGCCACCCCACCTCCTCCAAACTTCCTCTTCGAATGGACGTAGCGCGACCGTTTACCTTTCTGCAGATCCATCTCGTCCATCTCCATGTTGCTGATCTTCGAGAGCTCGCGCCGGAAGTTCCTGGTGATCCTCTTGCGGATGTAGTCCGCCTCGATCTCCTGCTTCGTCCGGGGCACGCGGAAGCGGATGCAGCAGCAGAGCCCGATGACGATGGACAACAGCACGGAGAGAACGATGCCGGCGAGCTGCCAGACGCGAAAACCTGGGAACGCTTCGTTCTCCAGCCACTGCTCCACCGCACCTTGCACCGCACAGTCCTCTGCCCTCGCGGAGATCTCGTTAGAACACGGGGACGAGGACGAGGAGGTGCTCGGGATCGTCGTTAGCGTCGTCTGCTCATCCATCGGGCTCTCGAAAGCGCCAGAGATCCTGGGGGATCCGACACAACTATTCGTACGCAAGGCACGACCGTTTCAGCAAGTTAACGAGTCTGTAAACGTGCAAGAGTTTGATTAATTAATGAATTTTACGTATCAATTGTCTCTTGGATATCTCGAACGGTCTGTGCATCGACGCATATGCCCATCCCGAGAGAACGCTTCTGAACTGAGAGGAAAATTCACAGCGGTATCGCGGTGGATTGGGTGTGGTTACTAATTGAAGAGCGAGCTCCGACACTCCCTATTTTACGCCACTCACTGATTACAGATCAATACGTTGGCGCGGGTTAGCCGTAGAAGTAGCTCTCTGTGTGGATTGTTAATGACGTTTTATTATTTCACAATAGCCAAAAATGTATAGCGATAAAGTAGAGACGATAAAAATATTATAAGAGGAAACAATCGAGCTATTTAACAATACTTGGCTCGCTCGGTGATTCGTTCGTCGCGATGAGAAATGCTATGTGGAAAGTAAAAGTGTTTGTTTAATCATTCCGTTACTTATCATCATCTGGTTTCTATCGATATACCGCTTCCATGCCCGTTCGAATTAACGCTGCTCCGAGGAAACTTCGAAACGGTATAAAATCACAGACTCGATAAGTTCGACAATTAATTGAATTTCTAGGTATCTTTAATGTATGTATCTCATGCCTGTCCGCCCAAGTTCTCGTGGATGTCTCGCAGCGCGGTGTATCAGTCGCCATAACACTAATACGCATTTCATGTACTCGCACACGGAGTACATGACGCAATTGGAAGAATGTCATAACGTATGATAAATTGTTCGAGATAACAACCAGCGTAATAAGTAACCGAATCCGTAAAGCTTCTCCTTCAAGTTTCAGCGCTACTATCTTTGAATCCTAGATCACTGTGAAGACCGACGAAACCTTTTGCAACGACCGATACTCGCTAGCACCGTTGGTACGCAGATACAGTAACTTCGGTATCTTCGAATATCTTCCCTCCCTTCTCGGGACGCGTCATACTGAATAAGTTGACGATGAGACGAGAAGTACGATCATCTTATCTTCTCTTCTCACCCACTTAACGAGACGCTAAATATTTCCTAGGGCACTGTTCAATTAACTGGTTGAAACTCAAAGGTCCGAAGCACTGCTGATAGCGCGAATCAAGGAATGCCAACGTGGGGAATCTCGCACGTGACAGACAATGGTTTTTTTGACCGCACTACGCGCGATAATCCTTCTCTTTCTCTCTCTCTCCTTCTTTAGGAAGTGATAACACTTTTGTCTCTCTAGCATGTTCATTCTTTCCTGATAAACGTTCGTCCCCTGTAAAAAAAGATATACTTAAATATGTACTGTGAGAAACAACGTAAAAGCCATTTTTACAAAACAGGCTGGATCAAGCATTATTATATGAGAGATAAGAAGTAATTTATTGTGTACAGCGCTTGAAAATCATTAGATGAAAAAGAAAACGCTTTGAAAAGCTCTTATCATAGAATATTATTTAATAATGTAGAAAGATGGTCGATTTTGTTTCTTCTCATTTATCATATAATCATTTATCTTTGTACTTGATTATTTTTAGTTTAGAAAGAGAAAGTGTAACTAGATGCTTACGTGATAGTTTTCTTCTCAGTATTCTTAGACTGAGATCTTGCTCTATTCAGCACCTTGAGAAAATCTGTTGTCTTGGTACGCATTCTGGAGTGGATGTAAACTTTACTGCACTTAATATGGTAGTGCAAATAGTTTCTAAACATGTGTATCAAGTCGATAGTATTGTCGCGAGCCTCCCGGTTAGTGTGACGTGGAAACAGTACTGAGAAACAAAATTATACAAAAGTGAGAGGAATAATGGTTCCCAGTTTAAGCATCATTATGCATCAAAAAGTGAAATGACGGATAGTAAACTACTTTTTGTCTTACTGTTAAAGACAATGACTTCTTTAAAGAAGCAGTTAGGAAGGAAAGAACAAAGTGGTACTATTGTCCTGAGAGAAACAGATATCTATACCGAATGTAATGTAGCCGATGCAATCTCCTACAGCTGCTTCAGAATCCTGTAACTCCAACGGTGGCTCGCGATGATTAAACAATACTTGGGGTGCGGTGTGACTTGCCCGCCTGCCCTCTTTCAATTCTTGCAAGAACAGTTTGCCAATAACCATGTCGTCTTCATCCTTAAATATTGTACTGAATACCACTGTGACTCTGTCGCTCTTAGCCTCCACATACCTGAAATGATAATTAACATACGTTGAACACACTGGAGAACAATTGGGAAGCATAAGCATATAGGACAGATTCTCACATTGTCTCTTCATCCCTATACTGAATAACCGCCCTCTTCTGCAACGGCCTGCCTGGAGAATCAAAGTATTCTTCTTGAAAGTCAAAGTACTTCTCAAAAACACTGGCAAAGCAGTGCCTCTTCAGCAATGCAACTTTCCTCACTAATGCCTCCCAGTCCTCTGGTAACTTTTCCAGATCTATGAGTACTGATACATTGTAACCTAAGGAAACGATACATGGTTTACAATAATTCCCTGTCACTTTTACAAATATGAGAACTAACACAATCAGGGCATATAACTAACCACTCTCCGGTGCAATAAGATGAGACCCGTATTCTCGTTTAAGCAGCTCATCCGCGCCATGTTCTTGTAATTGTTTATAAAATTTGAGCAGGATACTTATCTGCAAGAGGAAGCATATCCTCAATGTTAAGTTAAAGAGACAACAAGCTTCAGCCTGACAATATTAAGTAATATCTGCTTACTCTAAGCTTTGACTTGTCACCGCTGAGGTTTGAAATATGAAACAACACTCCGTCAAAATCTGCTATGACGACGTCTGTCGACTCCTGCTTGTGTCTGCGAAAAGAAACGGTTTGTTGAAGGAAGGACAACTGCAAAAACGATCATTGCAGTTCCGGATTTGACACAATCTCGGAGACACGTTTGATCAAGATAGGTCAAAATTGACGGCAGCCGTGCAGGACACCTGGAGCGATGTCCAGTGCGAGGTAACGCGAACAAATTGGAAGCGAGGCAAACGAAATTCGATCGGCTATATTTGGGAGGAGAATTTTTCCCGAGAAAATATGAACGTGGCGACGGACACCGCCCCGGCGCCACATCCTCTTGTGCGAGGTTATGCTGATAAGCATGCGGTTTTTCAAGTAGAAAATCGCTCGCACACGAGCCGCTTACCCCGACAAGGCATTCTTGATTTTGTTCGTTAACGTTTCTTCAAGTATCCTATTGTGTATCTCGAGCAAAATCATTATTGCGCCGGGCAGGAAGACTCACGTCCAACGTACGTTATGATAACGATAATCGGGCACTGTGGACAGATCGCGACAGATTTGTCATCCGTACGTACGCCGATACTCCGTTGACTATCGCCCGATCGCCCGCTCCGTCGATGAAACAGGGCTGTCACTATTTCCGTCGATAAGATAGAGACGGCACTTTCGATCAGAGAGAGAGAGAGAGAGAGAACTTGTGAAAAAAGAAAAGAACTTTCTCTCACTCCGAAAGAAATAATCTCTTCACCGCGAAATGTACTGACTAATTTCAATTTTCACGAAAACTGACATGCTGACTGTGTCTCGTACGACACCGTCAGTGTTGCATGATGATTTCGTCGGACGGGCAGCAATTTTGCGTATTCTGAACTATTAATGGATAAATGATTCACTCGCCGGTTCTCTGCGCATCTTCACGATTTTTCTCCCTTCCACGTTCTTGTGGTAATTCTCATTTACTTGCTTTCCACTAAATGCAGAAAGTGCAGCAAGGTGTTGTTAAATCGAGCAGAAACTTGGGTTCAATCACGAATCGTTCTTCCTAGTGTGAACTCGCGAAAAGCGAACGTCTAACCTGGAAAACATATGGAAATGTTTATTTTCCGAAATGATCGCCTCCATGTGCTGAAAAAATTATTTATGTTTCATGATTTTGTAATGATTGATATGATTGATAAGTAAGATCGAGTTCACGAAAAGAAACTCGTTGTTGATGTCGCCATCGACAGTCGATATTCTCGAGCGATTCGATACTACGAGAGTCGATACTGTCAAGCGATTCGATATTGCGATAATCAGACATTGCGATACGTACGTTAGTCGCGGCAAGCAATATGGCGCGGTAAGTCGGATTTGAAGAAAGTCTCCCGCGACTTCGACCGGTCGTAGGTGAGTCTCACGTCGAGAATTTTCATCATCCGGAGTGTCGAAAGTAAGTACCGCGCGTTTGTCGTGCGAGAGATGCCGTCGAATGCTCTAAGCGAGCATTCTGTGCGACGTAAAGTCCGAAGTGACGAACGAGGGATCGCACGTTCATGGTACAATGACGGCTCGACCTTCAAATTTCCTGTCGAGCTCTACACCTGCAAACCGCTGAAGGAAGCCTCATCTGTGTCGACGGGTGAGTCACATATATTTGTTGTTACGAGATATTATCGAATATCATTGATTAAAGTTGCATTCCAAAATGTTCTTTCCGAGGAAAATTTTCCACTTAAATCTATAGTGTATGTAACGTGAACTATCCCAGACAGCATACAATATTTATGATAAAGATTCATAAATATTTATGTCGAATAATTTTTTAAAAATATTATATAAATATTTTATAAATATTTTTATACATAAAGAAAAAAGTATCAAAATATTTAATCAAAATATTATTAAAATAGGCTGATTAAAATAGGCTCAATATTTTATACAATATTTATAGTAAACAAAAAATAAATATTTGTAGTAATATTTTGTAAATATTTCTATAAATAGTATACATAAAAAAAATAAACGTAATTATTTATAATTATTAAATTAATGAAGAAATAAGAAAATCGAAATTTAAATTGGTAATGTATACAGAAAACAATTTTTTAAATCAAAGAAATATATTTTGTTAAATATAATTTCTTAACTTAAAAAAATATATATTTGTTAAATTTTATAAAATATGTAGTATAAATATAAAGTATATATGTAGTATAATATAAATATAAAGTAATATTTTTTAAATTTGTAAAATAAGCTGTAAAATTATGAATTTCTAGAAAAAAAATTTTTCTTACAAGAAAAAAATTAGTTTTTTAATGTAAAAACTGAGTTTAAATAAATATTTGTTTGTTTCAAAAGTAAATAAAGTACAAGTAAATCATTTTATAAATTTAAATAAATTATTTCCTAATATTAAAAGTATCTTTTTCGTGTTTCAAATTAAAGTTTCTTTTATTATTAGGAAACAATTTATTTAAATTTACAAAATGATTTATTTGTATTTTATTTACTTTTAAAACAAGTAAATATTTTTTAAATATACTTTTTACATACTTCTTAAACATACATTTTATATTTAAAAAGATCTATTCTCTTCCTTTAAGTAAATCATTTGTTTTCGTACATGGATATACTATATGTATACAATACAAAACGTCTCTCAGTCAAAGTAACAGTAACTAAGATGCACGACTCAAGAACCAGAGGTCTCATGTTTTCGAATCTTGGCAATGGTAAGCAAATTTTTGAAGTACAATTTAACTTGAATTAAGTAGCGTGTGAAACAATATAAAATGAAAACTAAGAACATATATATTTTAAAAATTTAAGAAAAGTTCAGAAAAGAGAAAAAATATATAAATGTATATATTTTAATAAATATTTTTATAATATTTATGATAAATATTTATAATCTATTGAAACTAAGGTTATAAAAATATTTATAAAATATTTTGGTAAATATTTATAAAATATTCAAATAAATCTTATAAATATTTTGTAAATATTTTATAAATATATTTTGTGCTGTATGGGATAGATTTAAGAGTAAAATTTTCCTCGAAAAAAGTGTTTTGGAATGTAACCTAAGAAGGTCCAGTTTTCTCCTAATTAACAATTAAATTGTATTGTCTTTGTTGCGCTTTCAAATTAGACGAAAACAGACGTATGATTTAACTGTTGGTTAGCTTACCAAGAGGTAGGAAAAATTGATCTTAAGCCCATTCTACAATTGCGTAAGCGTAGTCGTGAACGTAAGAGTCAACCAATGTTGAATGAATGTTTTATTCACTGATTACTTTACTCTGATTGGTGTCGTAATCACTTACAACTACTTACAACCACGTTCACGCAATTGTAGAATAGGCTTTATGTACCACAAATGAGTATCTCGGAGAACGAGTCTTGCTCGTGAAAATACCGTGAAAATGCAATTTACGCAAATCTACGCAAATCTACGTAATTATACGTAAATATGCATGCTGTCTTGTAAATATATAAAAAATCTCTAAATTACGCGTGAATCAATATTGTAGCGCAAAAGCAATACTGTAGCAGGCAGTAGCTAATCGTCCAAGTACTTCCAGCGAGTGAATCAACGATGTCGCTACTCTCCAATTATCTGCACTGTCGGTAAAACAGTACGCCTCGGCTAGTGTTCATGTCTCGTGCGACAGATAACGCGTTGCGTGTGCACACGTGTGTGGTTTACACGTGAGACAAAAGAAGCATGATGCCTTTTTATACGTTACAGAAATACAACACGCTAATGTTAACTATAAATTGATTATAAATTGATTATAAATAAAATATTTCAGAGAGAGAGAGTGGGAGGAAAAGAGGGAAAGAAAGAGCGCTATATTAAATCTAAAATTATTTATTTATTTATATATATACATTTATTTATTTATATATATACATATATAGATAGATATGATTATTATATGCGTGTAATGGATAAATAATTTAACTACTCTTCCGGTAATCATTAATTAAAGAACATATGAGAAAACAGAACTAAGGCAGCACAAATGTCCAAAATCGAGTCATAAGACATCTTATGATTCGATTTTAGATATTGTGCTGTTTGGGAAGAGAATAAAGGCGCGGAGATAAGAAAATTGATAACATTCCACATTAGAGTCTAATACGCCAAATTTATTTGATTGACGGAGATGTTATTGAATTATCAGTTCGAATCGTATGTTTTGATCGATTGACATCGCTTTAAATCTTTGTCACGCGCTTTCGAAACTTCTTATTTCTTATTGTATCATTATCGTGATATTCATAGATTAAAATCGCATTTGTCAACATTTCACTGCCGACGGACAACGAATTTAAGTGAGCCATTTAAGTATATCCGAGATTGTTTTATCGGACAAAAAGTTGTCGATCATTTCTATTGCAGCAGGATGTATGTAGCCTTTGATCATTTCTTTATTTACACACACCGCCTCAGGTATCATGTGCGAAAGCATGGCGCTTACCAGCCAGGATACTTCTGGGTCGTGCCACAAACCCGTTATGTCCAACTGCAAAAATCGCACGATCAATCGTATGTTCATTCGCGGGCGTAATCGAACAGCTTACCCAGATAGCACAGAGAATTCAAAAAGAATTCAGTCGTATGTCACCAATTTTGAGTTCATTTTTAGGTGCAAAAAGAACTCTTTTCACTGAACTAAACTCTGAAGAATTCTCTTTACATTTGGAAATAAACTCAGAATTGATAACATACGACTGAATTCTTTTCGAATTCTTTTTGAATTTTCTGTGTTATCTGGATAGGTATTCAAACCGCATCGAAAACTCGCATTTTTTTTTTTTTTAACGAGCCTCGCGTTGAAAGATTCTGTGGAGGAAGCGCTCTTAGATCCTTACGTTTTCAAATGGCGAGAATTACACGTTGATCCTCGAAAGTGACTCGACAAAACTCATTTGCGACGAATCTTTTTTGTCTTCTCGCGAACGAACTCCGACCGCGGGTAAGTAATAAGCGAGCAAAAGAAAAAAAAAAGATTCGGCGAGAATTGTCATATTAGCTCGTCTACTTACCACTACTCCGCCCAAATCAAAATCTGTTTCTAAGGACTTTACTTTTAGGTAAACATCATCATGTACTGTCACAGAAAGTTCCACGCTAAAAGTGAAGTTTTGAACGTCCAGGCTAAAAAATAAACACATATCTTTTCTTAGTACGTACTTCTTACGCATGTCGCTTCGTTGATTAACCGCGTTCAATATTGGGTTTGTGAAACTCGGATGAATGTTCGATTGTTCACCGGCTTTCGTGAAAACATTTTCACGGAAAAGCTTTCGGAAAAATTGTAGAATAACGTAAATCTGTGTGCAAATTTTTACTTCATTGCGCTACTATGTCATAGTTGAACCGAGAGGTTTTGAATGAGAACTCAAAAGTGAATTCCCAGATAGCATAGAGAATTCAAAAAGAATTCAATCGTTTGTCACCAATTCTGAGTTCATTTTTAGATGCAAAAAGAATTCTTTTCATTGAACTGAAAAACTCTGAAAAATTCTTTTTGCATCTGAAAATAAACTTAGAATTGATGACATATAACTGAATTCGAGAGCTAGTCGAGCTAGTAGATAATAGGGTGAGTGGGTAAGTAGGTAAAGGGTGACTGGCTGGGGGCGAAATCGGGAATAATGTGCAATTACGATAATGATAAATAACGCGGTTGACTGATATCGCAGTTAATTCACAATTAATTGATACTGTGCTGACGTATCTCTGCAATAATACTTCGAAACTGGTATGATTGCGCCAAATTTGATGCATAGGATGCACCTGCCTGCGGAAGGTCTCTTAAGATTACAATTGCGCAGTAGTGCATTGATCGGAATATCGGTGGAAACGATTAGGCATGTTGTATTTGCATTAATACAGAAAGTCAAGCGATAAAGGGCGTATCTTCGACGTGCCTTTATCGTCGATATCGTGCAGCACGCACAGAATAATTTCAGCTTGTATACCGCATTCTAGTGAATGTTACTTGTTTTTTAAATATTGCGTAAATTTACATATCGGCAAATCTACCATAAGTTTATCATAAGCACCAAGTTTATTAGAAATTCATTCGGAATCTTGGTAGATTTATTATTTTGATCAAGAATATTAAATTAAAATAAAAGTGTGGTTTGCTTACTAAATAAAGTCTAACCAGTCTTTTCTTCGGGTTTGATGATATTTTTGTAAAAAGAAAAAATCCTTTTTTTGAGTACATGACAATGAGCTTTTCAAAAACTTGTAAGGAGTATATTTTATACTGAGAAAAAAAATACTTGTAGAGTTATTTCCGAAAAATAAATTTTATATTCTACAAATAAATCTTCAAGTATTTTTTTCTCAGTGTAAGACTATTATCAAGATATTATATATTCTTTTATCAAGACATTCCAGATATATATTCTTTTATCAAGACACTATTATATATATACATATATATATATGTATATATATATATATATATATATATATATATATATCTTTTTTGAAGATAGCTATTTAAAAGAAGACATTTAAATTGAGCATTCGGTATTTTGAAATAATAAAAAAAATTTTTTTTATACATACAAAATATGACAAACTATTGTATAATTCACGGCGTTCTTGCACCAAGAAACTGAGGTTAATGTATATTTTTGAGAAGACAAATATTATTTGTTTTTTTTCTGTCTGTTTCTATTGAAATTGGGAAACGAACGTGTCGGTTTCGATCCTTACTGATGACACGAATACTAACTTTATAACTCCATCACCGAAAAGTGGTATGTCCACGCCTATGAGACCTGTCGCGTTGTAATCAGTGCTCGCGTTTATGTGTTCCCATGTGAGGTTCGCCATCAGTTTCATACCGATTAATTGGAAGTCGGCACTGTTGACTTTGTATGAGGACAAACCTCGCACGTCGATGTTCGTAAGGATTGCGTCCAATCTAGAATTTCGAAGGAAGATATTACCTTAAAAAGGGAAATTAGAATTGCTGTCGTGGAATCGCTTCTTCGTCTTTTTTACGCCGCGCTCTCAAGTACATCGCACGTAATAATCCGGGATGAGATCAAATTAGCACGCACTTGATCGTATCCTTCACGTCGATATTAACCGGCACTTTCTCTATGCAGAGTGGGTCGAGGGGTGGAAGTCCGAGCGTTGCGTTCCCTGTCTTTATTAAATCTCTCAAACTCTCGAGAACATCCTCAAGCTTGGTATATGTGCCCTGGTGAGCTGAAAATAGAATTTCATCTTACATAGGGTGCCCCATAAATGGCGACAGTCAAAAATGAGAGGAGAAAACGAGGAACAGATTCCTCGGAAAACGAGGAAACGAGGAAAACGAGGTTTAGATTCCTCGTAAGTCGAAAGTGTCAAGTGAAATCTTTTCTAAGAAGTTTCTGTCTCGTCTCTTCGTGAGGAATCATTCATTGCTCGATTATACCACCAGTTACGGGATAGTCTGTACGGTGAATACAAATTAATATGAAAACGATACATTTTTGATCATTATTTCTAAACATTATTGTCATTTAAAAAAAAAAGACAAACACACCCACGCCGAGTAATAAACACGAAGACAACACCTGCGCGATCATACACAAATATAGAAACATACATATTGTATTCAACTAAAAGTTACTTGTTTCAAGTATTCCATAAGTTTATATATCCGTAAATTCATCACAAGTTCATCATAAGCATCAATTTACTCAAAATTTTGAATCTGAGTAAGTTCAGTATTTTCCCATCAAGAATGTTAAGTTAAAAGAAAAGTTCGATTTCCTCACTACATAAAATCGTATCAAGTTTTTCTTATCTAATATACTTGTAGAGAATGTATTTTCTTTTTTTAAATACATAATAAAATAAACTTTTCTAAAATTTGTGATGAGTGTATTTGAAGTTTATTTTATAAAAAAA